AACCAAGGTATAAAGTTTTTTTAGGTGTGATTTCATGAATTATCTATTCTGTCAACATTTGATGAATTAGAAAAATATTAATGTTTTTAAATGTTAACAATTATTTTCTTAATGACATATTGTGCTAATGAAATCCTTGTAAATAAATGTCCAATGAATGTATTCTTGCATTCGATTATTTGAATAAAAACCATATCCACCACCTGGTACTTCCAATAATCGTCATTGACACACAATGTGCAGATATAACACAATCAAATGTTAATTCTGGTTAAAGATAAAAGATAAATAAACACAACACGTGTTGTCCCTGAGCACACTCTGTAGGCGTGTTGAAATTCAACACATGTTGTGTCATTTTTGACACATCCCTTCTAAGAGTGTACAGCAGACAGTAGCTAGCAATTTTCGACAGATACAGCCCACTCAAAAATATATTGTTTTATATAAAATGTATTTATATATATAATATATATATATATGCAATTTTCGACAGATACAGCCCACTCAAAAATATATTGTTTTATATAAAATGAATTTATATATATATATATATATATATATATATATTAGCTGTATATATATTAGCCCGCTCGCGGGCACAGAGCCGCTCGCGGGAGTTGAATCTGCGCGCGAGGGTCATTTTATGCGCGTGTAAAAGCACATTTTCCGCTCGTGAGTAGCTTGTTTTACGCGCTAGAATATTGACCCAAATCTGACTCCATACTTTCCAATAGAGTCTGGATGCAGACATAGCCGCGGGAAGTAGGGGTGCTGGGGGTGCTGCAGCACCCCCTGTTGGCGAGTGGTGTACATTTGAAAAACTGAGTGACCACCTATATAAAAATGATTAAACTACATAAAATAGTTATGATTTTACTTAAAATAAAATTAGCTGTATAATGTAATAGTCATAGTATATATTTGTATCAGTCAGGTGGCTTGTATTTATTTTCCAAATAAATAAAATCCGAGTCATCTAGGTCGTAGGTCGTGGGAGAGTGACGTAATTGACGCGACCCACACACTTGCAGAGTGACAACTTTCTAGAATGGCGCAAAAAAGGATTTTGGATTTTTTTCTCCAACAAACAACCCAATAAAAAGAGTGGACCACCAGCTACTCCTCAGCCCACCACCTCTACAACTAGAGTAATATGACACAGAAGAGACTGACACATCTGACTTTGATGCATGTCCACAGTAACATGTTGGACAATGTGGATGTATCTGCTCTAATGAGGGTCTTCATTAGTGCCACCCCAGGCTACAATTGGAGTTTTGTGAAGCCCCAACACAAGGTAAGACGATGTTTCCTTTAATGCTGCTGCCGCTGTGCAGTGTTTTGCCTTGTCAATCAGTTAAAATTGAATTCATAGTTTTATTAATATTGTAAATAATATTTTCTGACTATTTGTAATGTTATGTAGTAAGACCCATAGTTAGCATGTGGGCATGTGCAGCTGTTGCTAAGTGATGTAGGTCTATAATGGTTTATTAAGCCTAACAGTTAAGGCGAGACACCAGGTGAATAGGGTAATTTTTTTAACGATATAAAGATATCAGCTAGAAATTTCTCCAGTTAATTACCTACAATAAGGCAATTGTTTCTTGTTCTACAAGTTTTCTGAATATGCAAATGAGTCATTATCTCATTAAATTTGCGCATATTTTAACAAATTTCAGGAACCGAAATCTGAACTTTGGATAAAGCCAGGTTCAAAATTCTCATTTCATTTTGTAGTCATATTAGCATCTAAGGCTTTTACAGAAGGGATTTTGGATATCTCTTTTTATCACTCCATAAATCAGAAAATACTGTCAACAGCCCTAAAATATCAATTTTCGCCATGTTTCTATGGTATAAAATCTTATATAATTCAGGCTATGAATGACATATGAACAAACCCTTCTGTAAAAGCCTTCATAATATTGATAGGAATATAACTGGAAGGTTTGGTGTATGTACGTGCTACTGAAGTTGAAATTTCGAACTAAGAGTAGGAGAAAAAACTCATTTTGAGAAAACGACCTTTAAAGATTGCAGTGAGGCGCTAGCTAAACCCTCCTGTTCTTTGGATGACAGCTTGCGCATCGACGCACTCCGTGAAGGTATTTCATGTTCGGGGTCATTTGTTTTTTGTATAACCTTGCTTTGTGCAAGTGACATTTGTTGTCGTCTTCTCTGTGAACGTTTTTTTCGCCGTTCTTTTGCCATTTTGAGATTTCAATTTCTAGCGGAAAGCTAATCAGGAAGTGTTTTAGCACACCACGTGACGCATCTGAACGAATCACGTTGTCAGAAATTGACACCAGCCAATGAGATTTTGTGTATTGGTTTAAGACCCTTTTGTACTTTCACGATTGGTTGCTGATACAAAGGAAATTACCATATTTGGATCTGATGAGATTGTGCAGGAGAGACGGAGCTTTCCAACGATATCTCTGTTGACATGGTGCACACAGCGGTCGCGGTACTTTATGTTACGTTAGAATGCTAACTTTTGGTGAATTTAGGAGAACTATACAGACGCAAATAGACAAACTATAGTAAAATAAACACTCAAATGTGTATTTTGTACGTTTTCCTTCCAAAAGCCTGAAAGAAAACATGTTATGGAATCAAAATAGCACAACATCTCAAAATTGACCAGTGCATGAAAAACGATGTTTTTGCCTGCGGTGTCTTGCCTTTAACAAACAATTTTGCAGCTCGTATCGCTGACAGCCGGGCCCGGCCCGGCACCGCCTTTTTTTTTTTTTTTTAAGCGGCCTCCTCCCCACTTTTGGCAGCACCCCCTGAGCAAAATGACTTCCCGCGGCTATGGATGCAGACCGCAGCAAGGAGGCGGATCCTATAGGGGGCATTTCCTAAAGGGTTATGAACCCCGCCCCTCCAATAGAGTCTGGATGCAGACCGCAGCAAGGAGGCAGATCCTATAGGGGGCGTTTCCTAAAGGGTTATGAACCCCGCCCCCCACGTATTTCTTAAAGGTATATGACGCTCTCTGTTTCTAATGTTTTGAATGAATCAAACGAACTTTGAAAAATAATAATTATAATTAATTTGCATAAAGAATGAAGAGTATACAACCCACAAAGACAAATTCATAAATTGTAGGCATATCATTTTTCACTGTTTGTGCAGTGGTAGTAATTATTATTCAAATCAATCAACTACGTTTTATGGAAGATATTGCTGTATATCATTTAACAACATGAGTAGAGGTTTCTGTACACCTAAAATACTGAAGTTGAAGTTACTGTCCTGATGTGTATCATTAATTTGTTCATGTTGTGTCTGGTGGTAAGATTAATTAAAAAATATATACAGTACATACAAAGAGGAAAGTCTTTATTAAACAAACATTTGTCCATTCTTGATATCGGTAGAAATGTCCACAAAGCCCACACCTTTTACAGTACGTGGACACATCTGAGAAAATACAAGAAAGTATTAGTGATGGGATTTACAGATGTCTATATATCTGTGTGTGTATACGATAGTGCGTGTGTGTGTGTAAAAAAGACAATATACAGCATATAAATGAATAGTGAATGACTGCTATACTTAACAAAATAACATTTACTGTAGCATATGGATGGCCAGCGGAAGTATCACTAATATATTCATAAACTAAACATACCCTTTACTATGCCAGTGAATGTCACTATGTTGGCTTTATGAGTTATCGGCATAGGATCCGACAGAGGAATTTTTCCTGGGCAAACAGTGCAAAAGTTCTCAAGAGGTATGAGGCGCTTTGGCAGTGTCTCCATGTTCTGCGGTGAACATGCATCCGTTGACAGAACAGCTGGCAATTTCTTGTGGTCCAACAAGTAAAGAACAAGTGATGTCAAAGCGGCTCCCTCAGGTGGATAGAGAATGTCCTCAGTACTGTGGCCTTCAGGATCAGATTCAACAAAGGTCTCAAACACATCACTGTCTGTACTTCGGACCTTTAGGAAGAGTTCAGGTCGGGTCTGATTCAAGTGCCATTTTGCTATGGACTTATGAGCACAGGAATTCTTTGGCTTTGAGCATGGACACTGCCAAGCAGGGCCGGCCCTCGGCATAGGCAGTATAGGCGAATGCTAAGGGCGCATCAACCCATAGGGGGCGCCGAAAATGTTAAAAAAAAACACAATTTCCCGATTTTGGATCAACAAAGTACATCTTATTATCTTATACTAACAGAACTACGCCTATATTGCGTACAGCGCTCATAAACTATGGCACACACACCCCCCCCCCAAAAAAATCAAGTTGAACTACCCCAGTCCCAGTAAAAACCAGAGGTTTATGTGAAATTGTTCTTTTTTTTAAATAATGGTTTTAGTGTGCAATTATAGGTTTTAATTTTGTATTTGTATTCATTTAAAATAAATCAAACTCCCAAAAAACGTGCACAGCTTCTGTGTGCTTTTATTAACATTGGAATTTACATTGTAAGCGGCCACGGGGGTGAGAGCTTCAGAGAGCTCTCTCCTGAAAGACTGAGAGGCTCTGATAACCTCAGCTCAGTGAGGTAAAGGCACACCTTTATATGATCATTATAGTTATAAAAAAATAAGAGAATAGGTGAAAAACAGGTATAAAATACTGACAGTACAAAAAAGTTGTTATTAATAAACAAGAATACAGTTTGAAAGGGGAGTGATTTGTAAAATATCCATAAAGAAAAAGAAAATCTGCTTACAGTTCTGTTTCATATGGGTGTTGAGAGATGTATCCATAGATCTCCTAATGTTGCTCTCAAAGTGCACCAGATTGATGCTTTCAACTTCAATATTTAAAAAAAAAGGCTTCCCGGGGGTGCATGCCCCCGGACCCCCTAGAATCATGTTCAAATGGATAGGAAACTAAATACAGTTGCACACATCTTGTGTCAATATCTTTCTGTTTTGGTGGTCATGCCAAAACCGTGCACGCGCGAATCATAGTGAGTGTCTGCATTTTGGGGGGGGGGGGGCGCCAACTAAAATCTTGCCTAGGGCGGCAAATTGGTCAGGGCCGGCCCTGCTGCCAAGCATTTCTTTTTATGTCATAACATACAGACACTCTCCCTAACCGCGAATAATATGAGGTGCATGTTTCAAGTACTGACACAAACTCTTGATGCGCCACTGCAAAATGTCACCACTTTACTCAGTGGGCTGTTTTCAGACTCAGCTTTCTCCTTTCTGACTAGACACATTATTTTTGTGTTGTCAGAAATCCATTTCTTCCCAACCATATCTGATAGAACTTCCTCCTTCAGTGTGACGTCTGGTTTGGATGAAGTAGGACAGTATATCAGAGACCTAACATGAATACACTCAAACCCTAATAAGTTACTTCTTCTGGAAAATGCTGATGCCTGCTTGCAATTTTCAAGCTCACAAACAACTTGGTGGCTGTTTCCCCAGGTGAACTTCTGTACATGAATGGGGTTTCTCAGCCCAGAAAATGTTCTTCCAACAGCAAAAATGCCATTTTTGAGGTCTAAGCATTGGGATGGAAGATGGTGATTAGAAGTAATATCAGGAACAGATGATGAGTGACGTCGATCCATGTGGGTCTTGAGGTTTTTCATATATAATTCAGTTTTACACAAAGGGCATGTTGTCCTTTTGGCCCTTGACTGGACTACTTTGCTGCGACTGATGGCTTGGAGTGGAGTGGAGGCTACAGATGCTGTGGCAATTTGCGAGGCTGCAGAGGTGACAGGGTAGGCTGAGGAGGCCACTGTGGAGGCTGAGGAGGAGACAGTGGCGGCTGGTAGGGAGACAGTGGATAGATTACATTATAGCAGTATAGTTGTATAATACATTTTTCCCATGTTTTGTTTAAGTTGTGTTTAGGGGGAATAAGGTTATGACCACTGCTTCTGGTGTGTTCATATGCATCACTTACTCTGGCGAAGCGATCCAACGCTGCAGGCTGCCACTGCGCACTTCTGAACATGATTCATAATAGTGGGCTGGGTTCTGAACTCCCCACAGTAGCAGCAGTGGAAATGTGGAGATTTGCAACACACCCCATTGCACCTGTACATTGTGAATCCTACAAAGAGAAATCCAGTTTACAAATGACTTAATTCTTAAGGGAATATAAAAATGTAAATTGTATACAAATTCACATTAGAATAATATTAGTTAGTAATAGTTAATTGGTTAGACTAACTAAAATTAGTCAACTATTTGTATATTTTGGAAGATCTGCAACATTTATTTAGATTAAGAAATACCTCCATGTTTAACAGCCGTTCTCCTATGGGTCTGCAGATGTGCCGCAATATGGCCATAGTCCCCCACCTTGCTGCAGAATTTGCACTTGTATTTATTAGTGCCTTCACAAAGGGGTGTTATAAGGGCATCCCCTTGTAAACAGTTGGGTGAATCTGGAAGAAAATGAGGAATTGTTTACTATTCAAACTGTTTTTATTTGCACTTTCAACAGTAACCATTCATATCACATAAATGACAGGAAAGTTTTTGAATGAGCTTTGATATTTATATTTTAATTGGATTGCTTATTAGTTTATGCAGCTCAAGGGGTCACATAATGTGTATAATATAACTAGTGTTTTTGCTTATCGATATTAGGAAGTTTTTATTATGTTACATTCTTTAACCTGTCTTTAATAGTGTTAGGTGAGCTATTAAGCATGTGTTAGATGACCAGTGACTCTTCTCAAATCATATTACTTTACCACATTTCTGATGATGCCATAACTAATGTTACATAATTATAGAAGACACATCCGAAGTGTTCTTTTTACATATTGATTAGCAGCCGACATTTACTGAAAGGATGCGTCCGTCTCTCATCTGGTTCATTAAAACTAGTAGTTACAAACTGTTACAGTTACAACCTTAATCAGTACCGCACATCTTATTACTCAATTCAACCAACCAAGCTAGCCATGTTGTCTATCCGAATCCATACCATATTATTTGATTAAGTTACAGTATGTAGGGCAGGCCTACTTATATTTCCAAGATAATACAACAGTACACAACAGTACACTAGCATCATGCTAAGTGCTGGTTAGCATCACAGCATATACGCTAACCTTAGGTCAATTAGATGATCAGCTTTGGTAACACAAATCAGTATTGTTACCGAGCCTGATAATCTATTGACCTATCTAAGCTTAACGTTATTACAACAGTAGAGTAGGCCTGGTTGCAAACGGGACTATAGGCCAACGTGTTTATAGCATCATGCTAAGTTAGCATTTAATACCACAAACATTTGTACCACATACAACTATTATTTACTTTATTAACGCTTAATGAGGTTGGACAGTCGATGTTGTACTTTGATAACGAGACAATTGTGTGTTAAGAAAAATGACATTACAATAAATATAAACATGCATCTCTGAAAAATACTATTACCGCTGTTTCAACTTGTTGTTCGGCCATCTTGAAAGAACGAATTACTTCTTCTGCGAGGATTTATAAAAGCAGCTGGAATCCCTTAAGTTGCATTACTGCCACCTACAGTATGTATTTCTGCTGAGTGTCATTATTCTATTGGATAAAAAAAGTTAGGATCCGCCCCTATAGGATCCGCCTCCTTGCTGCGGTCTGCATCCAGACCATCCAGACCCATCTCCATCCGGCAGGTGCGCCTCATCAGACAGCTGCAGCTGGAACCTGCAATCACACACAAAACACACACACAACCAGACGGCACCCCACGTGGTGTGGAGGGGTCGTCACAAGAGGCACAAATATAACGCCATAAATATGGCGGACCCTTCGCGTGAACGCGCAAACGGAGGGGTAGGGTGTAGGGTAGGGTGTAGGTAGGGGTAGGGTGTAGGGGGCGGTTTGGGAATGGGCCGCTGTGACTATTTGAGCGAGCGCAGGCAAAGCTGAGCGCGCACAGGCTGGAGAGGTCGAGCGAGCGAGAGAGAGAGAGCGCGTGCAGCGGTCTGCTTGCGCACGGAGCAGGAGTTTTATGAGAACATATATTTCTCTGTGCTAAAAAATGTTCAAGTGCGCGCTCAATAGCATTTTCTATGCTCAACATGTTTCATTGCGTGCTCAGGATAGAGGCACAAATATAACGCCATAATATGAATCCATAAACTCCTGCAGTAGACATACAGACAGCTGTAGCTCCGCAGGAGGAGACCCACTCAAACCGGCTCAAACTGACGTGGATGTTTCAAATGTGAACGACAGGCGCGGACAGTTCTCATTCATAACACGTTCGATGTCTCACTATGGGATGCGCCTCATCGCGGAGCAAACAGAAGCATCAATCTCATTACGCCAATCCTGATTGGCTGGAGAACTTGACGTCAGCCTCAGGGAAATCACCCCCTATAAGTAGCTTGCGCCACAACGCATGCGCCATTCAAACACCTCTTCTCGCTTCAGAGCACATCTCTATAGTAGCCGGACAAGCTTAACGGTCCACAGACTGAACCCAAATATAACCATTTCGGTCGACGGGCGCTCGCCGGCTACTCCTTCTGCTTCGCAAGAAGACGGTAATACTAACGCCAGTTACTATTAAAATTGACCTCGCCGTTCTTTCCCCGGAAAGTAAGGTAAGGTTTTGATTTTTCTCAAGCTAGCTACGCACCTGTTGCTAGCTAGCTTCCCCTTACTACCGACACCACGGTAGCGAGGACGCTTTTCTTTTTCTCTCTCACGGAGGAGAAAAGGATTAGAAGTATATTGACACACCAGTCAATATTCTTTGAGAACAAAGGACCCACACCGTCCCTTTTTCTCCGGATTAAGGACGGGTTGGTAACACTTTTTCTCTCAACGACGTACCTGTTACGAGCGGGTCCTCTCCACGCCACGAGGCGAACAAGATGGACGCCTCTCCCCCTCATACCAGAGGAGTCAGGGACTCGGAGGCTCGGTCATGCGGCTGCGGGTTGAAGATAGCAGGCACAGACTCACACCACGTCTGCTCGTCCTGCCTCGGGCTGGATCACACCCAGGAGGCTATCGACAACCCCGGCTCGTGCGGGCATTGTGCCCGCTTCACCCGAAAGAGACTCCACCGACGGCTAGCACACCAAGCTAGCTTGTTGGAACAGGACTCCCTCATGTCCACTGATTCGCCGTTTGGCAATCAAGACACGGGGGTGTCCGCCGCAGAGACTGAGCCCCTCACTGTGTTGGTCTGGGGCTCACTAACAGCGGCAGCTGCGGAACCGGGATCCCACGCCGTTCAGGCCGGGACCCGGTGGCGGCAAGAGACGCGGGAACGGAGCCCCACGCCTCACCAGGCGGGAGCTCCCGGCGAGACCTCACCATGGTCTCGCCCGCAGAGGCTCGGCCTGCTCCGCACACCGCCAATGGAACTGCTGGTGGCAGCCCACCTCCCACCGAGGATGGGTCACCAAGCAGGAACCCCACGCTGCCAGCGAAGGTGGACCGTTTCCAGTCGACCATGACTGAACGGTCCTACAGAGCCGCAGCGTTGTCCGCCAGGGCTCTGAACGTTGTTCAGGATGTGCTTGACATGCCCATCGTTCCCGAGGGGATTTTCGGCTCCGCTCTTGCCTCCATGCAGAGGAGATGCGAGTCGAAAAAGAAGGAGGACGAGGCCCTCCACCTCTGCCTCCCTCGAAGGGCCCAGCCGCTGCCTTCGCAGCGGCAGCCCTTCGTCCAAGCTGCTCCGAACCCTGCTCGGTTCAAAATACCGAAAACGCAGAGGTCGCAGTCCGCCCCGAGTCCCCAGCCCAGGCAGGGGACGAGGGCGAGCTGGCCTAGAAAATCTCCGGTTCCGGCTGCAGCTCAGGCGCAGCCAACCCAGAATTTCGGCCAGCAGTCGAGGAAGAAGAAGCGAGAGGCGTGACAGCCCCTCCTTCTCCCCTCTGTGACAGAGCTGGAAGTCTACGGTTCCCCAGCTCTAAATGTGTTCCTGCCGCCTCGAGAGATGCCTCAACACCATCCACAAGTCCGCGTAAACACATGTCACACACTTATTGATTTTTCTGTCATAAAACATTTTCCGCTGACGCATCCAGGCTTTGAGCCAAGGGCGCAGCTCGAAAATGAAAAGAAAAACAATAAAAACAATAAACAGTCCGTCAACTGTTCCCCTTCTGAGAGCAGCTACGGCCTCTCTCAAAGGGCGGACAATTGACGGGTCTGTGAAGGCACCACCGTCACGCGCATGCGCAGTGCCGGCTGGGGCTGTAAAGGCACCACCGTCAGGCGCATGCGCAGTGCCGGCTGGGGTCGTGAAGAAAAGCCCGCCCCGAGTCCCCAGCCCAGGCTGGAGACGAGGTCGAGCTGGCCTAGAAAATCTCCGGTTCCGGCTGCAGCTCAGGCGCAGCCAACCCAGAATTTCGGCCAGCAGTCGAGGAAGAAGAAGCGAGCGGCGTGACAGCCCCTCCTTCTCCCCTCTGTGACAGAGCTGGAAGTCTACGGTTCCCCAGCTCTAAATGTGTTCCCGCCGCCTCGAGAGATGCCTCAACACCATCCTCAAGTCCGCATAAACACATGTCACACACTTATTGATTTTTCTGTCACAAATCATTTTCCGCTGACGCATCCAGGCTTCGAGCCAAGGGCGCAGCTCGGAAAAATGAAAAGAAAAACAATAAACAGCCCGTCAACTGTTCCCCTTCTGAGAGCAGCTACGGCATCTCTCAAAAGGCGGATTACAGGCGGGTCTGTGAAGGCACCACCGTCACGCGCATGTGCAGTGCCGGCTGGGGTTTTTAAAAGCACCACCGCCACGCGCATGCGCAGTGCCGGCTGGGGTTGTGAAGGCACCACCGTCATGCGCATGCGCAGTGTCGGTGGGGATTGTCGAAAGGGGGGCACCACTGTGTTCAGACACTAGAGGGCCCCATAACACAACAAATAGAGACTCAGAGGGGAAGAGATGTGACATCTCCACTGGCTCTAAGGAGCATGCAGTGGAAGATGCTCACATCATCTGCCTGGGTTTTCAAGACAGTAACACGGGGCTACAGACTCCAATTCGCTGTCACCCCCCCTCGCTTCTCGGGCATTCTGCATTCGCAGGCCCGAGGAGAGTCTGCCCATATTCTGGAGAAAGAGATCCTCTCTCTCCTAGAAAAGAGGGCTATATCTATTGTACCCGCCGAGCAGAGTCAGGGCGGCTTCTATTCCAGTATACTTCCTCGTTCCCAAACGGGGAGGGAACGGAATTCAGCCAATACTTGATTTGAGGGCTCTGAACAAATATCTAAGAGGATATAAGTTCAGAATGCTCACTCACACATCTCTGCTGCGGCTCGTGCGACAAGACGACTGGTTTACATCAGTCGACCTGAAAGATGTGTATTTTCACATCCCAGTATATTACCCACACAGGAAATATCTGAGATTCGCATTTCAGGGGATCTGTTACGAATACAGAGTACTCCCCTTCGGTCTGTCTCTCAGTCCAAGGGTGTTTGTACGATGTACGGAAGCCGCGATAGCCCCGTTAAGACAACAGGGTATTCGCCTGGCGACCTACCTGGACGACTGGCTGCTTCTCGCACAGTCGGAGCAGGAGGCTGTTACGCAGACGAATGTCCTCGTAAAGCACCTGCTCAACCTGGGTTTCATAATAAACACAGAGAAAAGCATGTTGTGCCCCGCGCAGACTATACTCTTCCTGGGTTTACGCCTGAACTCGGTGCCCTTTTCAGCTCGCTTGTCAGCGGATAGAGTGAAAGCTTTCAGAGCTTGTCTCGCTCTCTTCCAGCTGCGCAAACATGTTCTCTTCAGATCATGCCTGCGATTGTTGGGGCTCATGGCATCAGCCATCCTGGTCGTACGACTGGGACGCTTACACATGAGGGAGTTTCAGCGCTGGGTGGCCGCCCTAAAACTAAACCCCGCGCGCCATGAGTGATGGTTACTGTGAAATGCGTAATGGCACTGCGCCACTGGCTGCACCCGACTTTTCTAGTACGAGGTGTGCCTATGGGTGCTGTCCTTTCACGGAAAGTGGTCACCACGGACGCATGTCTGACAGGTTGGGGAGGTATTTATGAAGGTCGCCCGGTGAGGGGTCTCTGGAGCAGAGACCTCCAGCGGGCACACATAAATTACCTGGAGCTTTTAGCGGTGTTTCTCACCCTAAAACGCTTTCTGCCTTTCCTCAGGGGACATCACGTCCTCGTAAGGACAGACAATACGACCACGATATCGTATATTAACCGCCAAGGGGGTTTGCGTTCTCTCCAGTTACACACACTGGCGCGCAAACTTATCCTATGGAGCGGTAGGCGTCTCCTCTCTCTGAGAGCGACGCACGTACCGGGAGTGAGGAACCTCGGGGCAGATCTACTGTCCAGAGGTATACCACTTTATATAGACTGGACTCTACATCCAAGGATTGTGAGCCAGCTGTGGGTGCGTTACGGCAGAGCCGCGGTGGATCTGTTCTCATCGAAAGACAACGCTCAGTGTCAGCTGTTCTTTTCGATGCGCGATCTAAATGCACTGTTAGGCGTGGATGCACTCGCGCACAATTGGCCCCCGGGCCTTCTGTACGCGTTCCCACCCCTGGCTCTGATACCCCCAACTCTGGCCAGAGTGAGAGAGCAACGCCACACACTTATCCTGATAGCTCCGCACTGGCCAGCTATGTACTGGCTAGCGGA